TCATTTTTACTACTTCTCGCACTCAAGAAGTATTGAGGGTCTCCCAAGTGGTCAATGACCTAGATTCAGCTTTGCACTTTCTATCCTACCCATTGCTGATCTGATCATCTGTTATAAGCTTTAATCTGATTTAAAATTTTATTGACCAAAGTACGTGAGCATTTTCACGGTCGTTTTCCATCGGCCAGATTTAAACAAATCCAACTTAACTACAGTACGYATTAGATACGTACAAGGGGCTGTCTCAAGGAAGATCATTTTCCAGTGACCAACTTTACAATACTTTGGCAGCACAATTTTTAAAAACGTTTTCTTCATGGTCAGTGTTACTAAATTGTGCAGCCTGTTGCTTTATCCTTGAGGTTAAGCCCGTCCGGAATTCCTGGAACCTCTTTTGTACGCATATTCACGACGTCATTTGCCAATAAAACCATTAGGTGCATACGTTAAGCACTGACGTTTCAGTACATGTGTTGCAAATTACGTAACAGCACCAGTTAAAATGACATTTGCACCGCTTCGCAACTGACATTCTTTTGATCATGAAAGGCCTGCCGCAACAAAGACGTTCGCAGTTGTCCGTATCTAGAGAATCTGTTGAACATATTCTCCCAGATGTCCCTGATATCATCAGCGATTTATCGCGGTGACAATAATCTGGGGATTTTTCGAAGTATACAAGGTCTTCCTTAAAGTTTGATCGTCTAAATTTCTTCCTGACGGGTCGTATTTTCACCTTGCCACTACTTCTATTTTTTGTTCGTATTAATGTCGCGTAGTCGTACTTTTCCATGAGGCGGTCTCCGACTTCACGAAAATTTGGAGCTGTTTTCCAGCAAGTCTTGACGCTACACGAACCGCACATGCCATGGCATTTACACTTGGTCTTAGAGTTTACTTGTACAGTCTGAAAATGAGAAAAAATACCGTGTTAGAATTGCACATTTTAGAACCAGGCCCATTGTGAAGTAGACTGATTCCATGCACCAGTCTGTCAGGTCGCTCTTTTTTTTCTGCTCCTAGTTTGAGCGACAAACCGAAAAATTGAGGAGCGAATACTACGACTTAAGGAATCAGTCTAATTGTGAAGTTGCCGTTTCAAGTTTACGTATCGACAATAGAATAACCTGTTCAAAATTCAATTTCAGCCGGAAGGCTCAAAATTAGCCTAATTGCTTTGAAATCCAATACTTAGAAAAAAAGAGATTCACCGAGACGAATAATAAATATTATTATGCCCATACAGGCAGTCATTGATTTCAGGCATAGTTAATCTAAGCCACCATTCTAGCTTTTTCTGATCGATATTTGATATTTTCTCTCTGTATGAGTGTGTTTCAGAAGAACTTTCTTGAAATAAAAGTTTTAAGTTTGTCATGTTTGACCAATGTTGCTTGGCCGCTTTGCTTCCCAATTTTCAGCCGCAAACTTTGATGATATTCATTGTTGTAATCAGTTTTATCTGTTTTTTTTTTTTCATTAAGTTTATAATTCGATATTAGCTGACAAGAGGCAATAAACCGACTGAATGGAAAATGATGGGCTCCCTGTATAGCAATCAGAATACCGCTGGATAGTATAAATCAAAGGCTCAAAACCGGGAATGCTTTTTTTTCTTTTTTGAAACAAAAGTGGTGTCTGGTTGAACATATATATAGATTAATAGACGAAATGTTTGTTAATAATGTCTCTATAACACTTTGTTCATTATAAATTGACATTTGGACAAGGTATCTTATTAGGTTATTTAAATTTTCTTTTCTTTTGTCATTTCCAGCAAATATCCAAGATGGCCACCGTTTGAATCACTTTAGCYTACTGGGGAGCCTGGTATGGAAGGGGTACGTTAATTATGAGATYGTTATGTGGATTACATTTTTTCCCATTAAAGAATCCTTTTTGTGCAATGTCTAGTGATAAAGCACAAGTTGAGAAATGAGGGAATTCGCGTCTTGTTTTATCACATTGTTTTTTCACATAGCTCAATAAAGTACGAGTATTCTATTACTTCAAAGAACTACTGTTTTGGATTCTATACTGTCGAAGATTGCATGTCTTGCGTATTTCTCCAAAGTACCTCATCCAGTCGAACTCAAGCACATAATGATCAGCTTTCAAGTACAGTACTTCAATCTCAACAAGTAGTTTGTATATGTAGACACCGCCATTCACGTCAAAGTTGGTTTTAATTTCCACAGAAATAGATTTATAACCGACGCACAGTTATTGTTGATCTTACACACACAACGACAAATGCAGTGATCGATTCTAATTAAAGGATGACATCGAAGCGGCAAAACTCCTATTGTGATATAACGTAATAACATATCATTAAATGCCGCAAGGGGTCGATTTGTTAGTGACACCACAATAACTAACAATCGTTGTTTGAACATAGTTTCATTGCCAAAGCGAGCGAACAATCGTTTTTGCATCTGTTCAGCAATGTTGACGAACGTCTTGTCCATTTTCTCATGAAAAGTCTGATTTTATGGATAATTTTGAAAAAGCTATTGCTTTTAAAATTTTTTTAATCATATTTCATGGTAAATATACTGAAATAATTCAAGAAGTATAATGCATGGGGGAAGTTTCAAGGCCTCATTTCTTCTAAGGTCAGCACTGTGGGGGAGTTTATTTTAGAATGCCGTTCAAGCTCTTGTTGATTTTGGAAAGATGCACTCACAGTACAGTTCCGCAATTGACGATTCCAAATTTAGAAACTAAGTATCAATTTTGGGAATGATATAGCAAAAGGGTACTTACAAATTACCCAGTTAAAAAATCAGAAATGGTAGTTGAATAATCCATTGTAAGATGGGATAGTGGAATATAGAATTGGACGACTTTTTCTATTCTTTTTTTTCTTCATTTCCTCCAAAGACACGAAATGTATATTGAAAAAGTTGCTATTCTCATTGTGATTAATCAGTACTGCGTAATATTTCTACATCTACATCCGGGTATAAACTTTTAAAAAACAGCGAAGTAAAGAGTAGCTTTGCTCAGTAGTTTTGACAGTAGTGCAAATAATAAAAATAATTGCGGCTATTTTATGGCTACAGCCCTGACAATGCAACGTGGCGAGATCATCTCATGAATAGCCAAATTTGACTCGAGATGCTAGGGCCATGACAAAGTGGTACCAAATGTTTTGGTTGATGATTCASGAAGAACGACATAATTTCATTATACCAAAAACATGGGCATTCTATTCTAGGCTGCTTAAAGAGTCTGGATTCGATGCATGCTATCCTATTCAAACTAGTTATCTAATGGTAATTTAATAAAAAATGCACCGATCTCAAGAAGGACACTATTGGATAGGTGTTGCGGCACCAGGAACAAAGCAAAATTTAATGCTGAATTTATATTGCTTTTGCAAGGCTCAGTACTTTTTAAATAGTACGCGACGAAATGCAACACGAGTAGAACTAATTATGGACGGTATTTTCTTAGCATCGATCTTTTGGCCTATTATTTCGCAACAGAATGAGACCACCATGAACCAAAGACATAAACATACGGTTCATCAAATGTACAAACAACGATCATCGTTAACTAATAAAGGATTTTAGTGATTATCGTTATCTGATAATGCATTTTTGACGTTCTTTGTGGCCGAGATATCGTTTATTGATTCAGCACCATCAATTCTTTGGTTAAGGTCAAAGTAGTTGGTTATTCTATCTACATAGCCTTTGATTGCAAATGTGAGTATTGATGCCTACCATAATTAGTATTCTGATGATCTATAGATATTAACGAGTTTTAATTTCATACGCCAAAAAGGAAGTATGTGAGTTTAAAGAAGAAGAAGAAGAASAACAACAAAAATGTTCAAGGCCAAATCATTTCAATGATCGCTAAGCATTAAATCTGGTAAACTATGTTACCATTTTTATTTTGTCAAGAGCCAAGGAGCTGGTTTGGGAAATACTCGAATGTCCCTTTATTTTCAATCTATAAGGGATATGAACAAACTCGCCCTCTGATTGGCTATCTATTACCAGGCTATCGGCACATATCCCACGAGCAGATCGAGAAAAACAAAGAATAAAATATGAATGTTATAAAACCAGCCTGGTGCTATATGGCTGATCAGCTCATATACGATCATAGATTGCATCAATAATTACTGTTAGTCAATTATAATTTGTGGTCAAACAGAAAGAAGAATAAGACTAAAATACATGAAGTGAATATCCTCTCACATCCACAGRTATATTGTTTGCAATTTTACTAATTTTTCTCGCTAACTTATGTGTAAACATATGTTAGCGAGAAAAACAAAGTAAAACTACAAACAATATACCTGTGAATTTGAGGGATTGTCCCTAATGCCATATGTCGTTGGGAAGAACTAGAATTTTTCATATCTATACAGTTACTGCAGAAACGTTTCACCCAAAAGGCATTGTTTGAAATACGGCAATTCTTTACATTTCCAGAACATTTGTTCAAATCGTACTAATCTATTCGTCACGGTTAAAAGAAAAGCAATGACTTATACATACCGAAGTACCAACCATATTGTTGTGTAATTTCATTTTGGAGTAGATGTCGTGTCCTCTTTCTTCCCCATTTAAAAACAGCTTAGCAAACATTGCTCCATAGATGATATTATCTCCACATCCTCCCCACTTCCATCCATCCCCCTTTCCTCTCATTGACCCATCACAGCTACAAGCACTCAGTTTCCCATAGCTGCAAGATTTCGCTATTGAACTTGTTACTCCAGCCGCAATGATTGCGTGTACGAAGGCTGTTTCACGAAATCCTACAAGAGAAAGACATGATTACAGACGTTAAGAAATGACGTCCGTTAGTTAAGAGGAGAAGTGTCTGGAAATGCTTTGCAATATAATACATAATTAAAACATATTCATAGACGTAGACGAGTAATTGAGTTACGAAAAAACGGTACGGAAAATATTAAAAACAGCATGACTTTTCCTCGTAAGACTTAGCCGAAGAATCCCTGAGGCGTGCTTTAATAGTGCATAAATCCAAATGGTTCAGAAGTGTCTCTAATCTTTGATTGATAAATATTTTTGATTACTGGAAATTCGAATATTTGTTATAAACAATAAACATGTTCATGTACCAAGCCTCTTTGAGTTGCTTTCAAGTCGATTATTAGTGGACGAGCCGTCCCTGCCAAATCAATTAGGTGTAACTACTGATATTTATTTCTAATTATACAGTTTGCGCACGCTATTCATAATAAGTCTTAAACGGGGGTCCAGGCCCCTTAAGGCGCTTGAGTCTCCACAAACACGTTTATCCAAATAGCCCGAGGCTTGTCATGTCTTTCCAAGTATTCGCATGATCTCGGCTGATATACTACTCATTTATAGGGCTATGGGGCATAAAAAGGCTTTCCATTTCTTTAATTATAGACAAATCAATCTAAACAACTATGAAAACTCTTATATGCTCTATAAATGTAACAATTAGTGGCCAAAATGTGTCTATTTTCGCTTATAGCTCTTGAGGCAAATCCTGTGAAGAATTCTTGTAAAGGTAAACAATGATGTGTATCAGTAAGAAAAAAAACAGCATTATATTCGGTAAACCGGCAATAGTCACGGTATGTGGCCAGTCATTAACATACCAGGTGAACTGAGGCCACTCATTCAGCAGAAAATAGCAAAAAAAAAAGTTTCCAAAAGCTGCTGTAATGAATTTCTTATTTTTTCCATAGACTCAGTAAAATATACCTACTCCTAATTTTATCTTGGTAATTCAAATAAAATGAAGCGAGACTTCTGTATTATAGTAAAATCCTTTCACAACATAATACTATGTAATACTGATGCCATTGATGTAGGAAATCGTTATTATTCTTGCTATTCTTTAACTGTTTCAAATTTTATCAGTTCTTGACAGCAGTTACGTAAGGGTGCTGCCAAAAAGTAAATTCGGGTTTGATAATCTAATCGCGATTACTGAAAGTATTTGATAGCTATACGTGATTACAAACACCATTGTGACTGATATCTATTCGTTATCTGGGCTGGGAGATTTTCATACAGACAGCASTTATGGCGGCCTCCCAGGAACTGTTCACACGTACGTCTTCTTGAACATGTTCCAAGAGGTGGAGCATCTTGTTTCATTGGGCTCTTAAAACACTTTAGCTTGTCAAAAAGACATTACACAGTTGGTATCTAAAAATGCAACTTCTACCACCCAGTTTTTTTTCAATACATGAATATAACTGGTCACACTGGATTAGGCTACTTATSGTGAATTGTAAGCTTCCAATAATGTGCCAACAATTTAATGATAATGGCAAATACCACAAGAATCTCAAAGGTAGCTACAAGTTTCATTTATTCGTTTTTATCCAGTTTCAACCTAAGTAGTGACTAGTTCATTTAAAAAAAATCCGGTTTAACGTAGATATTGGATGCCTAAGACAAGAAATGGGGCATTCCCAGTATTACAGAACACTGAAATTTCATAGCTGATTTCTCGTGAAAAATGTGGCTAATCCATACATTGCATGTTTGTTGACTGAGCAAAGTGGACTGAAATATTTGTCTGTTTTATAGATTTTGTTACCCACTTCCCTCTTCACCTTGGACTTCCAATTAAACCTCCTTTCCCTAATTGAGGTCCAGAAAGGCTAGTCAAAAACACTTGTGTATTTTATTTTAGAAAGTGAARCATTTGCCATGCGTCATCAAGATGTCTCTCGTTGTCCCTGCAGTAAAARCCACGATAGCCCTTATTCAAACAATTGTGCAAATATTTCCTGCAATCCAACTGCGAATGTAAAGAATGGTAGAGATTATCAATGAAGTGTTAAGCCTCTTTTGTCGGCTTTTATTTGGTGTTGATTCGTTCTTTTAACTTGTTAAGGAAAGGTATAACCAAAACTCTGTTTACCTTTGTCACCAAGGTCAATCGTGAGCTAAAGAAATAACATTCTTTTAGTCTGGAAAAGCACACTCAAAAATGTTGAAATCCTAAACATTACGAAGGCCTAAAGAAAATCAGTGAGATAAACACAATACAAATGCTTTTACAGAAAAGGGATCAAGTTTTTGCAAAAAAAGGTCATTTCGCACATGTAGTTGGAAATCATCGCGTTCCTCCCCATGTCTAGTGATGTTTATGATGATTGAGAACAAGCAATTTTGTCTCGCTGTGACATTTAAAACTTGTCACGAAATGGCTATTACCACGACAGAATATTGCTGTAGATTCTCTACAGTTTGCTAAACGTTGAATGTGAACTTCGAGAAGTTACTTTTTWCAACATGTGTCAATTATTATATCCAAACCAAAGGTCATAATTGCTCAATAATAGCTTTTGTCGAAACGTTGTTCTCTTGAATTGCAAAGGTTTATTGCTTTCTTGATGTTTCGCTTACTTGAAAGTGTTTTTATGTGCTTACCTCGTGTTAGAATAGGGTTGGTCATYGGATTTCCATTATTCATTTCAAGAGATGAGCAGTTCCATCGTCGATAGCGATACTGAGCCTGRCATTCATGCACTGCGTACTGCATCCCTTGAAGAGCACTCGCCACAACATCAGGCCACTTCCTGCACAAGATCATCTGATTCTTGTTTAACGATGGTGTGTTTTCGCAGACTGTTTCAGGATTCAGAATTGGATCTTCAAATTGGTTATTGGCGTTAAAAATGTCATAACATTGAGTTCCTCTGTGGAGTGAAAATACCAGTAAAATAATGCAAAAGAAAGTGCATGGTCTAAATGAACAAAGAATTAATCGATGTCCTTCTCAAGGAAATAAGAAGATAATAAGGTCTTATCGACATACTTTGAGTGGATTTGAACCACGACAAGTACAACTGTGAAAGCGTATCTGTAGGTAAGCTCCATGTTCAGGTTAAATTGGGATAACTTTTTTACTATGAATTCTGTGGACGATTTAATCTGTCTCGGTCCTCAAGTGCAAAAAAACACGCATCGTGGAACTTGGCTGGCATTGGAATGAGAACCCACTTTGGAAAGCCTGTCAATTGTGTTTGCTCTGGTCTGTGTAGTAACGCACAGCCATAATACTCCCATACACACGTTGAAATTCGATTTACAGACTTCCATCTGAGGGCATTGAGTGACGAGCCGGAAAAGATGTACTTGTGAGCACTCTGGATGTTTTTATTGCCGTGCTTTAGGAATGGAGGTGCAATCATAAGCTGTTAATTGAGGGCATTCTCATCGATRCTCCTTGATATGACAACTTGATTGYCTTGTCTGTAGAAGATTCATGTTTGCAAACACAAAATGGACGGAAGGAATTCTTGTGTGTAGATTCGTATCACCAAACTGTTAAAACAGAACTCCTCGTCGAGGCTTAGATCCTTAATAAGAGGTCACTGCATTGAATCAGGGTGTGATTTTTTGTTATCTTGATTGAGATATCCACGTTCGCTGCATAGTTTARTTTCAACGCTCACCTCGTAAAATGATGATTTCTTTTGTGCACACTTGGCAAAGTGTATGGTCTGCAGTGAGACGATCAAATGAACCTAGTGTCAACTCAGTGACTTGATATTAATCATTGTGAAACATATGCGAATCATATTGCTGCTCGATACTTCCTGTAACAGCAACATTGTTTAATCATGACTGTGTCAAACTATAGGACATGGTTTATCTGTATTCATGAGGCGTAAAGATCTGCAGGGTGTGGTTAGTCGAATAAGATTGTATTCMACTAGATAACTTAGCCATAAACTATTTTATCTTTTGTGCAATGCAGACTTTTATTATGTATCGTCAGCTTTTGGCTAGACAGCGGTGTACAGGATGATGTTCTGAAATGAGGCGCGCCGCTGTTAATCCGAGGAAACAGAATAAACCTTTTTGTCGAGATACCTTTTGGGTCACACCTACATTTAAACGGCCATAAGGAGCATTTCTACACAGGGTGTCTTAATCATAAACTCGTTAACAAAGCCAGATTGGTCCTTTTATGTGAGTATTTAGCATCTATCTGTCATTACTGTAGAAGCTGCTAACAATTGCCTGCGGGCATTGATATATAGCAAAGGCTATCATTGCTCCTTTCTACACTTAAAATTCACATACACCAGCCGCAGAACAACTTAGTCGAGCTAGCGATAATCAAGTATGCCAYCCAAGCTCTCCGGTAAAAGGAGAGGACTTCAAAATATCATTTGTATTTACATTACCAATGGTAATAGACTTGGTATTTATCATGTACAATGGAACATCATGCTCAGGRACAAACGTTTGCGATCTGGCATTGGATAATGATCCCCGCATTAAATGAAAAAAAATCTTCAGGAACAGGAGACCGCTGTGTTTGATCAAACGCGGGTTTGTAACGATGAAGTGACGAGAAACTTCTAAGAAAAGGTGAACTTCATTCGTAAACACACCAAGAACTTGACGATAGGTGTTGCGGCACCACGAACAAAGAAATCGAACACTGCACGCATGTGAATGGAAATCAATGGAAAAAGCACGAGTTGTGTCAAGTTTTGATTATTTTRTAATGGATTTGCGGKYTCCCTCTTAACAGTTGAAACATAGACTAGGGCACCTTGTTTATTACTTTCTTGTCATGTCTCCGACATTTTACACTGACTGGTTTTATCACTATCAAGGAAAATCTCTTTATAAGTGGTTCGGCAAATAGCGAGAATCCTTATGGCTCAACAGAGAAAAATGTTGAATCAAATGTATGCAAAGAAATTGGGTCTTTAGTCAGTTTTTTTTTTCATGACGATGACTTAATCAGAACAGACTTAGTTATACTAATCCTAACAACTRTACCCAGTCCAACATCCTCATCCTCAAAAGAGACACTTTGACATACGGTTAGCCAACACACAGGCTACCCGGTWCAAGCTTAAAATGTGTCCAGCTTATTTAGAGAATGCACGTACATTTTAAGTGAGTGACAAAATACAAACATTTTTCTTTCTTTGTGATGTGGTTTAAGGCTCCCCCTCTTTACTTTGAATTATTGATGTGTCTAGATTTTTCATCGAAGTGTGGCTTGATCATGAGTTTGCGGTTACAAAATCATCTTTTACATTTTGTCTTGGGTTGCCAATGTTTTATCACTGAAATAGAGTTTTGCACAGTAAAACTTTACTATAGTTTTGTGGCTAAAACGGATTTTTGACGTCCTATTTGGATTCTAATCATATTATATGTAAGTCACTTTCTTTCTTCTTTTTTCTTTTCTCATTTTATTTACACTTCTTTCTTTTCGGTAAAAGACAGTCTTTTTTCCCCACAATTCAATGTCCATTTGGTGATCTTCTAAATATTTAGATTTAATAGTTACTAGTTGATTTACAAATTACGAGTGAGAATCATTTTGAGATTTTCATTTTTGTATCTTTTTCACCAGAGTATCTGTTTATCAAAATTTACTAGACTTATTAATGGATTGATATGGTATCAATAACCAAAGCATCAATGATTTAGTCATAAACCATTATTCAAAACGTGTYTAAAGAACGTGCCTGAAGTTCCAACTTCAGCAAAATGTTTTTCAGAAAATTTATAAATATTTAGTTTACTGAACTATAATGCAAACGCCTTATATCTTCTCGAATTAACTTCGCTTTCAAATTCGCTAYAATCATTGCCAGTAAATACAAGACAATTCTATAAGATAACTGAAATAAAAACAGGAAAGCAAACAGTATAAATACGGAGGGCTAAGCTTTGAAATATTTGTCGTTTTGTAGTGATGAATTGCAGTGCGAGAGAATTGGCAAACAAACACGCCCCAAAACTACAGAAATCATTGTTTCTACCCTAMGATATCCGCTAAACGAAGATAGTGTGCGAAGAARGAGAACCAATACACAGCAAGGGGTGSCTAATGTTTCTTAAAAGAATGGTTAATGAGTAGTTCAGCTCAAGTTGGTGGTACACGCCATGCCGTATTTCAACCACAAATTAACTTTTGRATTGAGCCCACGTTCCACTTTGATTTTTTATCCCMAAAASTATCACGAGAATCCAATTAAAARRTCTATTAAATCAAACTTTAATTCGATAATGTTTTAAGGTTTCCACCGTTTCACCTGTAAGTTTTGATKATTTCAACTTTTGCTGTAATCTACACAGAACAATGAAAGAAAATCAATTAAAAATTTAGTTCGTAGTAGAGTGAGAGTACTTAATTCTTGGAATTGTACTTGCCTTTTTGTACTATTTTGTGTGATTTAGTAATAACTGTTCATAGAGGACAATGGTGATTCAAAGAATGCTCTGCTTCAGTGATTTAGTACAAATTTGGGCTATTTTGATTTTATACAATTTCACGGATTGAATGGATTCTCTCTATGTTATTTAGGTTAACACTGTCTTGCTATCATGTCTCGCTGTTCTCAAATAAATATTATTTGTTGAAATGAATACCGTTCTAGCTTGTCACTAAGAATACGGTTTGTACTTCACTGTTTTCGATGACTTTTCCTATTGTTTTTTTATTCCCGAGCGTTCGTCGCAGTAAAACGCTACGAGAACGCATTGGATGCGCTTTGAACTTAAAGAGAGAATTTCAAAGTTTCGTTAATTAAGACAGTTCTGAACGATGCTTTATCACTTCAACCAGTACTAATCGATATAGATTGGGCGTTGTCTTGATGAATGGTGGCTTTATAAAAGCGTGAAACCATTGGTGTTACTTGGTCTTTGATGAGATCGGGGTAGAAGTGATAATGGATTGCACGTTTTTTTTTATGTGGGCACATTTTGTACTCATCAAGTCATTAAAAAGAAGTGTTAATTTGCTGCGCGTTTGTCGCGGAACTATAACGAAAGATATGGAATAGATAAATGCAAGTCAAATTGAATTAATYTATAGCTAATCATTTTGGACAATTCAAAAGGTTTCAGTTTTTCCCTTTTTTGAGAAATCTGATTGTCACAGTTAAAGGTCTGAGGCGACAAAGGGGATATCTTATCTCTTGACCCACGCATCTAAACTTGTATTGTCTTTGTTCACACAGACACTAATGTCCCTATTTGTGCAAACAAAATAACCTCAAGTTTACTAGAAAATTAATTCTCAATATTGAACACGAAGGTCTTATTTACGGTCTGTCTGTTCGACAGCAATGGCAGCTCAAGATAAGAGTTTCAAAGACAATTCATTGTTTGTACAAACAGATCAGGSATTACAGCTAAAATAATAGTAAAATAAACCTTCCGAGACGCTACGTTGACAAAAGCTGACGACCTTATCGATTTGGCAAATTATTTCAGTGATTTCGTTCAACTTCCGCCTCTGAGAAGGTCGCTGAAGAGATTGGTATCAAAGTCAGCATGGCACAAAAAGAAGTTACAGYAGTTTTAGACATGAAACAACGGAAGGATTGACTCATTCAAAAGCACCGAAAAAACATGACAATTATATTAGAAACATCAATATGTTGTTGAGCCCTCGTGAACTACGACATGAATTAGCGCTATATTACAAACTGAAATAAACTCAATTGACGTGAGTTGTTGAATTTKTGGAGTTCCTTTTAAAATAAGCAAATATATGATGAATTGTATTGAAGCAAAGATGTTAGAAGAAAACACCTTGCCTATATGGCAAAATAATAAGTTTGAAAAGGAAATTACATTTAATGCTGAGTTGAGCCAAAAATATATCTAAAAACAGGAATTTCACAAGGCTGATAAAGAATTACGAAAAAAAACTTGGTCTAATTTTGAGCTTCCTCCACATAGAAAAATAATGAAAAAAAAAACTAGTTTGTTGAGAATATTTTTTGTTCGTTAAAAATATATTTGTTATTTTGGTGGTCTTTTTCCCTATGGGAAGAGAGTCTACGTTCTCGGAAAGAACCAATTTGCAAACGTCTTCAAAATGGCTGTAGAATCCCCCTCGGGTTTCATGGAAGTACACTTCTTAAGCAGCACTTAATCAAAAACTACTAATGCAATGAGCGTGCGAGCAAACTTAAATCTTTCTTTATTAATGTTGAAAAATCATATCAATATGTTTCCCTCAAGTCCTCGCCACCACCCTTCCGTGCGCTGAAAAATAGAAGAAGAAAATATTGAAAATGTAAGATACAATAAAGACAAAATTGTTTTGTAAACATTATAATTATAATTGCAAATTCTTAAAAAGGATTGCAAAAAAAACTCCCAAAACAAAACAAAATAYAGATTGGATAATGACTACTTGTGATTGAATATTCCACTCTGATCAGCCGGAAAAATCACACAGTTTGAGAGGCTAGAAATCTTCAAGATGATTAACCTAAATGATTACATTTTGAAAAGGCACTAATTATCAGAAAGCTATTAAGAGTGTATTTCTATTCAGAGGGAAGACAAATTTCCTGCGTTTCATTAGATTTAATAGAAATAGGAAGCAGCTTTCCTACGAGGGTCCGGCAAATTCACAGTGATAATTTACTGTRAAATAAATGACATCATGATACTAAAGGTACGCAAAAGTATGCTACTTTGTTATTGGACAAAACTGATGACGCAAATCGACAGTATATTGACACAAGCAGCTTAGATTTATATAATTGAACTGCTGTATCACGCTACCATTATTGGAACCAGCACGAGGTGGAGGATAGCACTCCACAGCCGGACAACACAACCATGGCCGTCTCGACAAGACTGGTCGTYTTTGTGCTTGGAATATTGATACAAGGTAATTGTATGTTATACTTTGTCTTCTTGAAATTTCTTAGTTTTTGTCAACTGCTGTAAATAATGTACAGGAGTATGATAGCTAAAAGGACCTAAAAGGAGCTTATGTCTATGTTATATTTACGCTTGATGATTAACTATCAAGAAAAAAACCTTTTTTGCTGGAGATCTTTAAGATAAAGTAACAATTGTTGGATAGAACTGCTTCGTTCCAATAAGGATTTATGCTTATATTCAAACTTTCAAGGGTAGGGACAAGAATCAGCAACTGTAGTCCTACATGTAACTAAGTATAAGAGTCGGTGTCATTTTAAAATTGGATGTTATAGCAAGTGGATTGAGCCAGATCACAACGTTGCCACTTGTCTTAGCCGCAGGGATCATAAAAATATGGTGAATTTCAGTGTCGGGGATTAATACTTTTACACGAGACTGGAAGATCATAGGCCTGTTGAAGTATCTTAATTATGCAATTACTTCGTTAAAAAACTATGAAACTCTGGGTAATTACTGACTTGAATTAATGCTGTGAAATACTTTAAGTGTAGGACTGGACTTAAGACTACCGTGAACCCATTATTTTACGAATTCTTAAAACCAAACAGTATTAGTATCATTCTCTATTAATCATGTGAACAACTATTTCACGGAACTTAAGAGGCTGTAAAAAACATACTTTGATTAGGGCTCAAAAATTGATGTCTTTCATACTCTACTATTTTGAAGGGCTGGTCTAATCTTAATCTAATATCAATTTAYTTTCTTGGCAAAACCTTTCAACATTTTTTCTTTTTCAGCCCAATTAGAAATGTCGATTTCGGGGATCAAGGGGCAGAATAGCGTCATATTTACATAGATCTATCATAGTATAGCTTAATCTTACAGTTTGCTGGGCGTTAAAAGTCAAAGTATCAATGTTTTTCGAGTTTGGCATAAACAATGACGTTAGCACGACCCCTGCTTTAGACAATTGTGTAATCGTCTCAAAGCACATCCATTTTGTGAGCTCATTTCATTTTGGAAATGTGGTCAAGGTTGAAAATTTCAAAACAGGTCATAAATAGAAACTGCAAAAAACAACAACAACAACAACAACAACAACAACAAACCTCATCTCACATTAAGCTCTGTCATGAGCTTATAATTATTTCTTTTTTAGCCCAATCCTATGTTCATTGGTCGACTGTCGATTCTATAGTCGATTTCAGCAATCGACAGATCAGAATAGCAACATATACATTGACATAATATTCAAATTATTTGAAAATGACATTTTTGTTACTTTTTTGCACAAATGAAAATGGAGATTACTTTGCAAATATTTTACTTCGGATGTGCTTCATGAGACTTTTGTTGTTGCTTTTGTTGTTGCTGTTGTTGAGTTCACTACAAACTAGTCGATATTATTAACCTTTAATTAAATGTCGAGGTGCCTTAGTTTCTCAATGTGCTGAAACATTGWAAAGCAAATTTCCGCTTTGGCTATTTACGAACACAAAGAACACGGACATATATCTCAAAACAACCTGTTTAGAATGAAGTGTTTTCTCTTGTTCGCTATTAAAAATTGAGCTTGTATACTTCTCGTTTTAATTTCATAAAAAATGAAATTAATAGTGGTATTTTTCCATTAATTCCGTGTTCAGATTCAATAATCTAACGACACATTTAACTATTTATAATTCTCAAAGTGCTTCTTTCCTGTTTTCAGGGTGTTTTGTATTTAGCGAAGACAACATTAAACCAGATGTTGACAGGATTCCCGAAAAGATTGAACACGGAGAGAAAGGGAAATCTGAATATAAAGTAAATAGCATCATACTAACTGGAAACCAGCATACTCAAGTAGATAACAACGATGAAGACATGCGCCCACCCAGCTGGCCACCACGCCCTGGACGTCGTAGCTTCATCTCGCGTATTAAGTCCAGGAGTTCTGGACCAACGATTATGAGGCCAGGGCGCGAATTGAACAGTGAAAAATCAAAGAGAATGTCAAGTCCACAATTTGTCTTGAGACCTGGTAGAGGCATCGACCAGCATCTTGCAGGGGATGAAAGAGACGATGTTCCACAACATCCAAACATCCTTCGACCTGGTAGAGATAAGATCGAACGGCCACCGTCTCTCTTTAGACCTGGTAGAGAAGATGTACCACAAATTTCCCTTTTAAGACCAGGTCGTGAAATTAAAACACGTCTGTCTGTTTTAAGACCCGGTAGAGAAGATGTACCACAAATTTCCATTTTTAGGCCAGGTCGKGAAGTCGAAGGACCTCCCCCTCTCTTTAGACCAGGTAGAGAAGATGTTCCACAACATATTTCTCTTTTTAGACCAGGTCGCGAAATGGTTCGACGTCAAGTGCGTTTATTTAGACCAGGTCGGGAATTAGTTGCTGACCAAGGAGGAGCAAGTACTGTAGTACGCCCTGGAAGACGAAATATTCACTACAATATGCCCTGGACATATGTTGGAAACACGGTGGATGCACACACGCATCGCAAGACCCACACATTTCGCCAAAAGGCCAAGAAAGAAGACGAAAGCTTTCATTAAGAACGTCACCATTTATATTAAGTTTTATTTCAGAACGAACCAGGCAAACAACTCTCTTTTTGATCAATGAAAAGAAAGAGAATGTGCAATGATATAGATCTATTGTTAATTTTGAAACAGGTGTCTGAGACTTCCCTATAAGATCTCAATGAAGTTTCTTGCAGCTTGTTCTATTGATGTAATAAGAATAATAAAATGCACAATGTGCTAAAAACAAATTTACCTTTCTGTTATTTTAGAATTTCATTGCAGTGTGTGGAATACTCCAGTTTCGAGGTCTTATTAGTGCAGCCTTAACCTCGAAAGCATGCAATATATTCTTATAATTCAGCAGACATCCTATTCTTAAGAAAACATCGTCTCTGGGTAGACGACAATAAAAATAATAAAAAATTGTTTTTGATTGAAGCTAAGCTTGCACAAAAAAGGCACCGCGGATCATAATTGGTTTTAGAGGGGTGCAAAATCAGGACGAGACATTTTTCGAGAAGCGCCAAATAAATAAGAGAAATGTTTTCAAAATGGCGGCCAAATTATTGGCTCCGCGGTGCCTGCAAAAGGGAATTCGAAACTAGAGTATTCTAAGTTGGTYCGGCGGAACTATTGATTTTCAAGACAAAAATTGAAGCTAATTCTCGATTTCGGCATCAAATACTGTATTTTATATTCCAAGAACATTTCAGTTATTTTTTATTGGACTATCCAGTGATAATTTACATTTTTCWAATTCTAACCCAGTATCATACCATATTTTTTAGAAAGAAAAATAATCGAGGTTTAAATGTGTTTTTTTTTTTCAAATTCCGTGGAATCAGTATGAACTCAGAAATCAAGTCACATTATATTWTAGCAGTTTCGCTGAAATGCAACCACTAAAATCTTAAAAAAGTGATAGMTAAATGGTGTTCATTAGACAATAGATCAACAATCGAATTATCCGTATATTCAGTAGACTTAAGCACGGTTTTAGTTTATAACACATTCAGCTACAGTGTAAAACTGCTTTATGGTGAATACTCGAATATCAATGGAATTTCAAGTTCCACAAGAATTACCCTCCTACCCGAGCTACCCTTGGTGAAGAAATTTTTCAATGATTTCTTGTAAGATAAAAAATATCTTAACATAAGATTGAGTATTAAAAAAAGGACTCTTTTACTTGTTTTCGCTAGTTAGGTTTACCCTCTTTGCGAAAAGGGGTTTCCCTCTTACCCGAGACAACTCTTTTCCATGCAAACACCTTGTCTCGGGCAAGCGAGACAAAACCCGAGAGGGCTATATGTCGTAAGCGTGCGTATTGGATAAAACATTTCTTTTAAATCTCTCTCTACATCAGTAGTTGACCCGGTCACATGGGATAACATGTTAACTGTGACGTCATAATGAAAGAGGGCAATCTACGAGATTACCTCGTGGAAATATCATTTACTGGTTGATGTACTGAAAATATCTGATGCTCCTTTATGTTGCACACATGGTCTGCCAAATAGTAATCCTGCTACCAGGAATAACTTTTTTTGGGACAAGGGATACAGGAAATTGAAACAATTCCTTTAATAACATTTAATTGCTCTGGATAAATTTTGTTTACAAAAAAAATATAATGTACTATTTATCATTCAAATATATAATTTTCTTCTCAATATCTCATAAAGATTCCCTTCTAGCACAGTCTTTCTTGTTGTAGTCCTCGACGAGTCCAGAGACTTCTTTGGAATACCTGTCGAGAGCAACAACAAGAGAGACTCTGCTAGCAGGGAATAAATACAAATGCATAAATACAAATTTTAATTATCTTGGTCTGTAAACATTATATGTCGTTGAAATTTTGTTTTAATTCAAATAACCGCCCAGCCCTCACTGCGAGTTAAAAAAAAAAAAAAAAAAGTTAGAACTCGTTAAATCCGTGAAATGCAAAAAAATGAGCGTAATGTTTATTCGTGCAATATCTATTCCACGCCGTCAATGACTTAAATCCKYTAGAGTTTAGTCAAAATAYACRTGAAATTATTTTCTTTTGTGTCYATTTGGCTATCACATTTTAAARGACARTTTTTGTTTCACGGGTTTAATGAYTTCTCTTAAATGTTGGTGGTTTCATATCGCCCACAAAATTACAACGTCACTYACATGATACATAATACCGATCGACTCGCTTTGCGACTCGTTTACAGCGTACAATACAAGTGTGGAGTATATGGAGYATACAAGTATTTTCGAATAATTGTTTAATAACTCTTCGATTGYTAACGCAATCTCCGAGWTCAATTGGAATGTTCAACAKAGAAACTKTTAAAATAGACATGAGTTGTGTTGAATATAAAAATAAACGCGCATATTACATTTAGCACGTGTTTCGAATTACGTGTCCTTCCCATAAGTCCCCTTGGGAAGAGGAAAGCACCACCTGCCAAAGGGCATCGGTCTCATATGATGTAAATAAAATATTTGTAATAATTGTTATAATAATACCTATGTATAATTCTTTAAAACGCTTGTTAAAATATATAATAGTTGTTTGTATAGTTTTTGTTTTTTTGCTTATTGGTAGAGTGTTTTACAAAAAAACCGTGAAAAATTTCCCTCAACTATTTATTAACGATATGAGCAAACTAGGATAGAGTTAATTTCTGTGTATTTCTTCACTGTATTTCACGGTTTTATGAAAATCACTCTAATGTTAATATAATTTGATATATATACCTGATTAGTGATATAAATTGACTTGCGTCAAATAATTGTTCTTAATATRTACTGGAGAGAAAGGGAGAGAATTCAGATTTTTTTGGGTGCATCTGGCCCTATGTTTGTCCCTATATCATTGTTCGTACATATATCACCTATTAGACCAGGTAAAGGTACTTCCTCATCATCACTGATAACTGATTCCACATCTTGATTGTCTTCATAAAAGCCATTATTACTGAACCCAGGTTCAGACGGCGACGATGGAGCATCGAAGCCATAGAAATTATTCGATGAGCTGGACGACGGTTGGTTTTGTGCACAGGTGCTAGAATCACTGGTAAACTGCCTGCTATCGCCGCTACTATTAAAGGCATCATCTTTTAAAAGAGGCTTTTCATAACGATCGTCTATTGGAGCGACACTTGTCTTTGGGAGCAGCCCTAATGTTCTTAGGTAGTTTGGCTTTTTAGGGGTCGCCGTCCGATTTCCTTGCGCGCGAGAGCGATTTTSCCCAGAAAATKTACAGTCACCCAGKCCGGYGCTACTTGTCAAACCAATATCTTTTGGGACATCATCAAGRCAGATTTGCCCCTGCCGGAATTTGGGTTTCCGAGTCAGTGGATGATAYGTCTGTTTRGTTTTGRWWCGATTGTTKTCTAAAGATGACTTTCGACTTTGGTTCTTTACTATCAAGCTTGGATCATGCAGATCACCACTGTGACTTGTTAGGCTGTTACTCTGACTTCGGTATAGTTGCTTTGGGGTGCTTTTAGTTTCTTGGAKTATTCTTTCGTGTTGGACATCCTCAGTTYCTCTAACATGAGTGATGTTCATCCCACTGTTATTCATCACTTTAGATTCAATATGCTTGACATACAATGGAGAAGGTGGATTACCGTCCATGGATGTCGTTAAACAGCTACTGTTGGAAATCCTYCTTTGCAGTTCCAGATCTGTTAAACCCTCTTGAGAATCAACAGCACTTCCAGAGCCGTGTGAGTAAAGGCTTTGATCACTATCATAACCACTTCCTGGGTCAATGTCGAATTCTCCCTGACGGTATAGATACTCCACATCATAGTCATAGTCGAACTCTGCATCACTCGACAGTAATAGATCTGAAGAGGACGAGAGACACAGATCTGCTAATTTGCTCTCACCGACTAGGTTTTCCATCTTGAAGAGCAATTCTCCCATTTGGATTTCCACTTCGTCGCACGCATATTCCTTTGGAAAGATACAGAACGTTAATAATGCTTGATGTACATTAGTTAAAGGGCTACTTGACGAAAATTGCGAAACATTAGAAAAGACTTGGAAATCAAATAGACCTATCCATATGGGTCTAATAATCATTAAGCAACAGATTTCAAGAAGATATTGATACAAATCCTTAATAATTTGGGCAAAAAATGTTGGAGTAGATGACGTCATTTATACTCACTGAATCCTTTTGTTCTTCCATCTTTTAAATCAAAATTTCTCTGATGTGGGATAATTCCAAAACAAATATTTTCCCGCAATTGTTTTTAATAGATATATGTGAGTCATATATTTKTATTGYTTRAAGTTTTGAAATAATACCATTTTCATGCAAGTAGCACTTTAACGTCACTATTCCCTTTCTTTGGTATGATCACGAGTTTAATCTTTATTACTTTGAAGTTGAGTACACTTTGAGCTAAAGATCAAGTCTGGATGGAACTCTTTTGGAAAACCTTTTCTTTACGACTTTACGACGATAATGCGAGATATTCTTGTATAAATTGAATGTATTCTTGTATAAATTGAATGTAAAAATGTGAGAATATTGACTATTTTCGAAACTTTTATTCAACCTACCACAGGAATGATTTCTCCATCTTCATCATCTGACTCATCATCATCGTCGATAGTTTTCTTTCGGACACCAACACGATTCCTGAAATAGGAACGGCACGCTTCCGTAAATAAAACAGTAATCTTTTGAACAGAAATGGCGACAATACTTACAAGTTTTTCAAATAGTCAATCAACAGGTGTGTTGGATATTGCCTTCGCTTTATTGAATGAACAGACCAATTGAAAATGGCCATACTCTAATTGACAAACAATACAAAAATTAATCCAGCCCAACCTGGCTAATCATTGTTACATAAAAGCATCGTTCTAAGTTTGCACAAACCTAACAATGACAGAATGAATATTTTTGGGGTCAATGGGTGGTTTAGAGCCCACGTTAACGCCAAATTTCATATGTAAATTAAACAAAAATAATATTGTAGTAATTTGCATTAAATTCAGCGCATGCGTGTTGGATTCGCCATATGCAATATGCCTAAGATGTTTCCTGAAAGCTCTAAACAAAAACATCGAAAAAGCAATGAAAGCTACACATACAGCTTTTTCTAAAGTGTTACTGAAGAGAATTGATCAGTTAACGACTGAAAGGCACTGTGGGTAAATATTGAATATCCATAGTATTAAAAGGATACATTGAATACTCTTACCAATCCTCGCAAAACCACTACCAACAAAAASACACTGGTAAAGTAGTATATAATAGGCAAACAAACACTCTCTCTTTGTTCAGTTTTTCCTCTGAGTCGCAGAAGTCCAAACGTGTACACAAGACTTCTTGAGAATGTCGCGAAGTCCAAATATATTCGTCCAAACAACAGATAACCGAAGTGAGAAAGCATTATTACAGATATTAACACAAATRCCTGAGGATAATGATAATAAGAAAAACAAATTACATTATTTTACCTTTTTGTGATGCACAATTTATACATAAAGTTCGTTAAAGTTAGTTACTACTTTTTTACGCTTTTAGTATTTACCCTCTAATCAATGTGCATTTGACCTAAGGAAGAATACTACTCCTCAACCTAAATCTTTCAGTTCATTTTTTCTCTTGAACAGCTGATAAGATGAGTAATAAGTGGGATTTAAAAAGCCCATTAATAAGTCTACACCTTCACGATTATGGGCTACGTCCACATGCATCCGAAAATTTCCGGAAGGAAAGTATTTTAAAATGCTTGGAATACGTGCGGACGAGAAAAATATTGTATCCACAAAAAGAGCTTGTGATTACCGGCTCAAAGAACCGTTGCCATTATGTAAAGAGTTGTAGGATTTAAGGGACTATATTTACCATTAACGCAGCCAGAAAGCCAAAAGTTGTCCAAAGTAGGTAGCAAAACCGCTGTACAAACGTGAAAACTTTCATGAGATGGATGATTTTCAAGACCAGTAGAAATAGAATCAAGCTGTACACAATGATTAACAACTCCTGGAAATAGTAAGAAATATAAGAACTCGTTATTATAGTTTTTGACTGACAGGGGATGGAAGGGGGGTTAATGGAAGCGTGCACTTGGAGCTGGGGAGAGAAACAACCAAATATTGTATTCGATATGGTCCGGAGACGAGCAGTAACAGACCGCTGGTGCAATCTGTAATGCGTCGCGAAGTAAGCCATGTCTATAAACCATAAATGACTGACCTGCCTGTGGTGCACCAGTGATACAGCAGCGTAAACATCATGTCCACTTTCACTGAGAATCTCTCGAATCAACGAGTAAACTGATACTGACCAGTGCACATAAGCAACTATTGATATAGCTGATAGCAGCAGGAATAATACCTGAGACAAAAACATGCTGTAAGTACTCGCAGATACTTAAGGAGTCTTATACTAATTTTTCTTTATGGTTGTTTAATGACGTAGGCGAGATGCATCATTGATCGGGGCCACGTTCTTTTTTTTGGTATTTCATGAACAACAAGCATCAGATACGTCTTTTGAGGTACTCTTRTATGTAGGTATCTCATGTTAATGTTTATTCAAATGTTTATCACCTTCAAATAGCGTAAATTTCGCAAAGGAGCTTCATTCTCCGTAGCTTTAATAAAACATCCGTCATCTTGATACTGTCATCATTACCATGATGCATTTCGCAAAACACACATAAAATCATTAGGCCAAACGACCATTTAAACGGTTGTAACAATTCCATTGTTTCTCGTTCTATTGTATTATGTGTTTTGTATTATATCTGGGTGATTTGAGAAAATGCGACTAGCCAATGAGCGCAAAGCTGACAAGCTTATGTTGTAAASATARCCCHCCSWCRGRAGGAATTTGCACAGCAAAACTCGACCCAGTGGAGTAGGCTGCCTGCCATTTTATTCTATCCGAAAAATAAAAGCTAAAACGCAAAGAGAAATTGAAAATCTTTATAAAATAGCTTTTATTAAAAGTCAATCAAATATTTATCGCTATAGAAATAGAATTTTATATTAAAAATGAAATAATAAATGATTTTTTCTTTAATACCAAGAGACTCCCCTCCCTGATAAAAATAATTGGTCTGTGTTCTRYGCGGGTTCTCCATTGCATGCGAAGCAATGGCCGACTTCACGAAGACTTYAGAAGGTCGTTGAAGCGACGTTCAATTCCAAAGTATCTTAGGAGGAAYCATTGCAAATATTTTTTCTTAGCTCTTGTTTCCTCTAAGCTTTGAGGTATCTACAACATCACGGAAAGAGCTAGAGCAGCTTAGCTCCACGTATTCCAATAGAGTTAAACCGTTTGTTATGTTTGGTAGTGACAACAGTTCGTAGTTCATCCTTTGTAGCATTTTCGGCAAAGAGCCGTAAGCGTGCTCGACGATACAACAGGTTGACGTTATTKAACAGGTCGGTTACACATTTACTAGCTTTGACCTTACAACGAGAGCTAAAACGGTGACTGGGGTTTTCGTGTAATGTCTTGATAGCGACTGTTTATGTTGAAACGACGACTCAAAACAAAATTCCATCGTGAAAAAAGTTCGACTAGATTCCCATCTGAAAAACACGTGTGTATTTAAGGTGGAAAATGTTTGATATGAGCATTCAATTCTTAAAGGTTTAATTCTATAATCATTTTGTTTAGTTATGTAAAKAAATTTAACACGACTTGTACTKTTTATCTGAGTGAAAGGAGAGCTGCGGGTTTTCCCTTTCCTTTATTTACACTTTCAAATATGACCGCTTAACACAAATGCACGGGCTCACTGGCTTACAACCTTGGCGAATTCATATGCAGGCCTGGTCGCAAATCAATCACCCAGATCTTTATGAATATATTACATCAACTGAGTGCTACGTAGATCCTCCTTTCTCGTCACTAGTCCCTAGCGGCCAAGATGACCGTTACAAAGGAAGCACAAAGGAGGAAAAAAGAGKTGCCCATACTAAGTAAAAATATATGAAATGAAAATACAGAAWTTTTTTTCTTTTACCTCGATRAACTTCCAGACACTCTTGAAATACTTTGATTTATACTTAGTGAGATAAACCAACTCGCTGTACAAACAGAATACAAACGTAGCGACAAAAACTCCCTGCAAATAATTAAACAATSATGAGTTATTCATCCACATTCACTAAATGTTAAAATATACCATGGAACGAAACTGTGATTGACGTCTGACAAAAAAATTTCTGATTCTCTGTGAGCTGATTCTGTATGAAATAAATAATTGAGTGGTGAAATATTCCTGCATTTTAGTGTTGCGTCTTTGAGTTATGAAGGTTTAATCTTAAAATATGTTGATGGAAATGACGTTAAAGAAGGCTTCATCAGATATACGAACTAACTTTGAAGGAGTCGTTTAAAAATGATTTCATGTCATTAAATTTATCGTAGGCAATGTAGGGAATAACCATATTCCCAGATGGCGTCCATGAAAACATTTTTGAGCGACTGTTTCAAAGTTCGTATATCTAATGAAGCCTCCCTTAACGTCATTATCATTAGCATATTGGAAGATTTTAATAAGATATTTTAATATTTTTTTTAACCTTCAAAACTCAGACGCAACTCTGAAATGCAGAAATACTTCTCCATTCAGATATTTACTTTATATAGAATCAGCTCACAGAGAATTAGAAATTATTTTGTCAGGTGTCATAGGCACTTTAAACACTTCAGTACCGAAAAAATACTTTCAGCGGTCATACCTTGCAAACTTTCAAAAAGATGTCCAAAGCAGTGCTCTTAAAAGCGTCTTTGATAGACTTGACTTGTATTTTAATCAACGGTTGACCTGAGTTGGGGCCATTGACTTCCCAAGATACAGCACTAACAGAAAACAAAGAAGTGTCATTTTTGATAAATGAAATATGAAAAATAGCCAGCTACCCTAGTTAGCTTGATAAATAAATAATGGTACGAGCTGTGGTGAATAAATGTGTAAGGAATTGTGATAATCCCAGTGAAATTGTAAAAATCTAATCGATTATTAACAAATGGATCGCCCGAAATAATTTCTGCCATCAACGGGAATCAAATTCATGACCTCTGCAATGCCGGTGCAGCACTCTACCAACTGAGCTATGACGCCAAGTATGTTGCTAATTGCTTTTATATCTGTAGATCATGTGACCAACCTGTACACATCCAGTGCTGCTGCATACAGAACAAAGTCAATAGAGATATGTTCTGTACACATTGATATCCATTCCCTCGTTATTAAGTCTTTTAGCTTTTCCTTGGCGATAGCTCTGAAAAAATGATAATCAATGATGATGAATGTCGATGTGAATTAAACGTATTTGGTAAAGTGAAACCCCAACTTACGACCACTCCATTATACCGACCAATTGTTATTTGTTCCGGCTAATTACACCCTTATGTATTCCGGTTACTAATACGGCTATCCAGTTAATACAACCCTTTTTATTATTTTCCTTTGTTTTTATCCCATCCAAATCTACATTACTGCATTTCCACAAAGAGAAATATCACGATAGTAAAAATGTTCCGGCTAATTACACCTTTATGTTTTCCGGTTAATACGGCCACCCCGTAAATACAACATTTTTGTTCATAGTGTCCCTGTGGTGGCCGGATTAACGAGGTTCCACTGTATGATAATTACTTTACAGACGCCTGACATTTAATAGAATGGCTTTCATCTTGTGTGGCGATCAAACGAGAAAAAGCGTTAATTAATATTTTTGATCTCAAATGCGACGCCTATTTGAAAGCGAGAGAATTCATTTCAAGGAGTTCAAGAGGATTCAGTTATTACTTCGTTCTACTTAGCTCGACAGAGCTCCATTGACCACTGTCTTTCAGACACCTTGATCGGCAAATTCTCTTTGTTTTTGATCCATCCACGTCAACATTACTGCATTTCTACAAAGAGATACTTAAATGTCTGAGCTTAAAGCCTTAGTCCCTACTCCTTTTTAAAAGGCCTTATACAATTTCCWCATTACAGTCTTCTTTCAGACCTTCGAACTGCATCATGTTTGTTGGAAAGATAAACTAGGCGAGTGTGAGTTGCCTGATAGAATAAATACTTGGTATAAAGAGAAGGTTCTCGGTTTTACCTCGTGYTTTCTTGTAGTGTATTTACGGATACGTGGCTTTCCAACAAGAACACTCAAAGTATCTTTGAAGAATATCTAAAAGACATAGTGTATTCAAAATGATGCGCGATATCACTATTCATGGGTTTCAACCACATCAGGGGGCGTATTCAAGGGGGTCACAGGGTGCCCGTGACCCTTATTCATCGGATAAATCCTTATCCAAAAGATAATAAAATCTATGAAAAAATAACCTTTAAAAAATATCTATCGGATAACACTTTGTTTCCATGCACACTCTAATAATTTGGGAATTTCACTTAAAAATGCAGGTGAGTCAAGTATTTTTTCCAGTTGTAATGTAGGAATAAAGCTCTAATAAACATTCAATCRTACTTGGGATGTTCGGTTCTTTCGTGATGACCATTCATACGGTCTCCAATACAACAAGTTCACGATTTCTTCATGATTATTCCTCCACCAGAGATCAGGTGGAACGCTTCCCATTTCATTGGCAGAGTGTCTGTAGAAGTAAAGAAGTTAATTYATCATATCTATATTTCGTACTTTTGAAAACTTGCTTTTCACTTTGAAGAGAGCAATWCTATAGTCCTTATTACGACCCGAGTGAAACCTTGTGGCGCAATGCATTTTGGAATTGATAAATGAGTAAACAAATGATCYGCTTTCAGGTAGCGTGGAGATACAGATTTTCTTTTTTTTTTGCAAGAGATGTTAACTGCGCTCACTCGTGAGAGACGTTCTAGTCACTCAAAGATATAATCCCTACCTCCTCGCGAGCATGTAACGGTTTTTGTTGCTTATAATTTAGCTATTTAAATCAAGGTAAAAAGATTCTATTTTTCTTTCAYGTCGCATTTCATCACTTCAGCTCAACATGTCCAAGTAGGTTTCTTGTTTTTTTCGCAAAGGATTTAAAAATAAACTCACAGTTATCATTCAGAATGATCGAGCACTTACTTGAGTATTGTGTTCTGTACAGACTTCTTTATGTTGAAGGCTGATCTACAGTACATACTATTGACTATGACACAAACCAAGAATATCCCAACCAAACATGCAATAACGTCCCTAGAAAAATGAATCGTTCAATTCAATATCGTTTGTTTTATCCATTTTATGTAGTCAAGCTACAGTTRAGGGATTCCGTAAAAAATAGAACTTGGTCGCCATCTTTAATGATCGATTCAGCAAGCAACTAAGAGATGCCTTACACAAGAACTTCATTGACGGTATGGAATTATAAATGCTGTGCAATCTAATACTAAATCATAAAATAATACATTTGGATGTTTCGAAGCAACAATTCAATATTCATATTATCCTGAGAAAATTTTTCGCTACTAAGTTCTATGCAGTGAATTGTACGTTTGACTCATAATTTTTTCACCATTTAATATGGTGGCCGTATTTGAGGAATAAGGTCAATTCTGAGCCATTCATATAGGTAGTGTGCGACAAGTAATGTAAAATACCAGTCTTCTGCAAAATATATTGAACAGCCCTCTTTAAAGTTGCACACACGTTCTTACTTGCTTATCTTTGATAATTTCGTAGCAATTAAGTGASAAACAACATCGAAAAAAGAGAGGGTGGGAGTTGTAGTACCACAATCGTAGATAGTGTTTCACATAATTCAAAAAAGCATTGTAGAAAGAAAAGGTCCCTGCTTACTTACAGTGTTTACAGTCATAATTCTAATTAATACGAGCTAATTACCTAACGTAATCATACACAACTTTTCGAACATGTTTCTTTTCACAGGCGTCAAATAGCAACGCTTTGTTGAGAGGTTTAAGGAACTTCAAATATCGCTGATGCCTTCTTGCGTCAAGTGCCTGAAAACATTTTCAAGTTATTAAACCTCAACACACGTAAACATGGATAAATCTGAACAAACATGTCTTACGGTTTTCAAATTCATGTAATCATCGCTGGTTCTTGAAGATGATATGTTTTTTCGTGATTTATCGTCYTCACTTATTGGTTCGACTTTTGAAGGTGATTTTCTTATCAAATTCGAGCACATGGTGTACAGTAGGACAGCAAGTATCTAAGATGAAAAAAGCCATAATGTTAGAGTGATGGCGCGGTGATAATGGTGATGATGATAGGTGTGATAAATGACTGAGACGATTCAGAATGGAGACAATTATGATGATTACGATTATATATGAACGGAAAAATATCGCGAATAGATCAAACGCATTTTGCCCTTGGCTTTTTAAATTTGTTTTACTCCAAACATCCAAACTTTCTACAGAATGCTTACAACATAGTTGCGTTGAGAAATATTCCATCAGAGAAATATTTTCATGAAAAAAACACGCCCTACCATAAAAGGCTGAGAGATGAGCACCGACTCCACCACAGAAAAACAGAGCGACTGAAGCCAAAGAATGGACTTTTGGCGACCAAAACTGAAAAACAGAACAGTACACATAAAGTTTGCACATAGGATATACGGTRATATATAGCTATTTAATAAAAACAGAATATTACATGGTCGCTTCGAAATRCGGATTTTATCTTCTCGTGTTGAAAATCTACGCTCACTTGTGAGAGATCTTTTCAACACTCGAAGATAWAATGCGTAYCTCSGCGCRYCCRTGTAATATCCTCTATTTATCTAAGGCCCTAGAGGGCTTAAAGAKGTCTTAAAGAACATCACAATGTATGTACTCGATAGCTTTACCTTAGTCCGTACCAGACTGTAATAAACCCTGAAGCAAGAATAGTTAAGCCACATCCAAACCAGGCAATAGAAACAAAGCAGTGTGGCAACCAGAACGTGTTTTTGGGTCCTTGAGAGGGTTGTTCAGAATTCGATGAAGACATGTCGTCGCGTAGCAGAGGGCTTGGTGGCGCTTTCGTTGGACAGGCTGTTTGTACATCGAAGACTGTTCCAATAATAATAATTAAAAAAGAATAAGATATCTACAGTATTTCCTGGAAGGGGAATCGAAACCAAGGATGTGTGCACTTGAAATGACAATGCTCTTTTTCTAGTTTTCAAAGCAGTTCACCGGGGTTTTTACATGACAAGAGGTTCTTTTTGTGCAAAGACCTTTCCAGATACAAAGCAATGTATGAAAAGACTGCTTTTAGTTTGTACAGGATGACTCTTAATTAGGAGAAAATGCGTAGTTACGGCATTTTTCGTGCTTTCTTTGCATTCAGTAAGACCTCTGCGCAAAAGAAAAGTTACAGCAGTTACCCTTTTAAACTGGAAATATTGCATGGTTGATTTGGTAGCTTCAATCAAAAAACCATTGCATCATCCAAGACCAAATAACAGAAAAAAAGTGAGAACACGTCACCAGACAAACAAAGCTCAAGTTTGATTGGCTGATGCTTTGTCAATCAGCGAACATCCCATCATGCATATCGGTTTCAGATCAAGCATTTCCCGACAATCAACACTATATCAATCATTATCAAACATCAAGAAMGGCATCTTACCTGAATAGTAAGAATAATCCTCTAAATTTGGAAACACAGAATCTATTGAGCTTCTGTCATACTGGCATGAAAAGGACAGTAATGTTAGCTTCTTTCAAGAAAGGTTGACCTAGATATGAAGCTTTTCTTACCCAATGCRGTGGTTTTATTTTTCGACCTAGAGCYTTGAGGTACAACAATGTCTCAATAGTCTGGTCGAGGATAGAGACGGTGTCATCATAATGCTCTGCAAAAAAAGATCAATCTAGAGTAATTTCATTGTCATAAATTCAAGAGTATCAATAGAATAGTCAATAATAGTTTGTCAGGATGAAAATATAATAAAATAAAATAAAAACAAAACAAAACAAAACAAAACAAAACAAAACAAAACAAAACAAAACAAAACAAAACAAAACAAAACAAAACAAAACAAAACAAAACAAAACAAAACAAAACAAAACAAAACAAAACAAAACAAAACAAAACAAAACAAAACAAAACAAAACAAAACAAAACAAAACAAAAC